TTCCATGACCCGATTCTCAACCTATAGGCTCCCTTGCCCCCTCTACCTCCCCTGCTACCCGACTCACCCCCCGAACCCCGCCCCACACTCTGCCCCACCCCGAGGACATGCCCTTATTCTATTATCCCAGACTGCAGCCACTACACCTACAACAACCTAGAGAAGACTCGCTAGTGCACAACGTACACAAATCAAACTAGAAGGAAAACACGTGGTAACTAGTATCCTAGTTGAAAGGTTTAACTATTACGAAGTAAAGTAACAGTAATTTAGCAAACACCAAAAGGGAAACAGTAAAACAGGAGGTACCAACTCCCGATAACAAAACCTGTGGCTGATTTGCTGTGCTCGATGTAGTTGTACGCTCCCGCCCACTTCCTACCACCCTTGCTGACACTCGCCTAAGTTGCTCTCCTTTGCCAGTGCTCGTGCGCCCACCTTGTCTCCAATACTCCGAGAATTCCTGAAAACACAGAAAATACCACGACCCAAAAATCAGAAGGAGCTATCACCGCTACCACTGGTAAGCAAAGAAGCAGAGCAAAACAATTGCTCTTTTTCAATTGAAACAGATGCACCACTGCAGAAAGGTTGCTCTCTTTCAATTTCAACGGAAATAGAGAATAAAGATTGCTCTTTTCAAAATGTATAGCGGCGGGTGGCTGTTATGGGTTCCAGAAAACCAGATCCCTTTTACAGAAGCGAACTGTAATGATAAGCAAAACCCAGAAAAATCTTGAACAGAAACAAGAAATGGAAGCCTAAGAATCACAGAACACGAGCGATTTTCAGGGGAAAAAGAACTTGAGTTTAGCTACTATAAGACCTGTTAGCTAATGTTAACCTTCTCCTCTTAGTCAACGTAAGTCAGTTCAAATTCAAATCTGAGAAAAGTAAAATGCAAGAAGTGTATGTGTGTGTATACTTGCAGACACTGAAGTAGTTGCCGGCCGTTGAGAGCTTCGAATATTTCGGCAATGGCGAATGTTCTAGAGAGCTAACTTCCTAGATCTATGTTAATAAAACCTTTGTCAGTACAGCTAAAAGAGGAACCCAAAACCCAGCTGCTAATGTCGGCGTGTGTCTAGCTGCTAAGGGTTATAATTCTTTGGCAAAATCTCAGATAAGATCAATATATACAGCAAATCAGAGAAGATTAAAGAATCCCCTAATGCCTAACAAGTTTAAATTTCTTAATTCACAAAAAACAAAAGAAAAAGAAACACACTCAAAATCAGAAAGGTTAAAAAGATGAAGCAACGATACCTGAGCTTCGCAAATTGTAAAATGAGAGATTGCCAAATATAAGAGCAGAGATATTCTGAATTTTATCAGAAATGAAGGGATCCGACGAAGATATCCAAATATATACCGTCCGGCGACGGTGGAACAACGCTGTATCACCTTGATAAAGCCCCGGCGAAACCAACCCAAGACGGAGGTGACCGCTCCCTTCAATAAGATCAACAATCGAACTTAATTGGAAATTGACTACTTCATACTCCTCTACTTTTAAATATTCCTCTACTTTCAAATCCCACCAACAACAATGAATCATCACATAAAGCAATCCCATTACATGCCCTTTAATATACCTTCCTTATTCCATAAATTTGTATACCGATAAATGAATTTAAGTTTAAACAATCAGATGTTGCTCGAACACAACTTTTAAGAAAAGTTCCCAAATCATCTTAAGCCTAATTAAGCATTCCTAAGACATGAAATAATGAATAAAATTTGTTAACAGAAATTTATATGCACAAAATTTTTTCAATAGCTATTTGACTTAATTCATCCACTTTATGTCAATCTCAACCCATACACCAATTTTAGTGCTTTATCAAAATTGGGTTATCATGAGTCCTTACTGTTCTTTTCCTCGTGTCACGACCCCAACCCCGGCTGTGATGGCGCCCAACACAATGCTAGGCAAGCCCGGCTAACTAACATCTCACAATCTCTTTCTTTATAATTCAATACCGATTTTGGGATTTAATACCAATTTAATATAAATAGAAGTATGAATTTAACAGATGAAATGTGCGGAAACCATAATCATGAAAAAAAAATCTCTGTAAAACAGCCCACTGATTCGGTGTCACAAGTTTGAGCCTCTAATACAAGGTTTCAACAATCTAACACAGAATTATGTCTAAAATGCGGAATGATAAGTGGAGATAGAAGGAGGAATCGGGTCTGCGAACGCCATGCAGCTACCTCGATAACTCTGATGAAGACAGAACGGCAGGAAAGCTCGCTCTATGCCTTAGGAATACCTGTACCTGCACACATGGTGCAGGGAGTAATGTGAGTACTCCGACCCAGTGAGTAATAACAATAAATAATGGCTGACAGTGTGAAATCACGTAAAGGCACTAAACAGTTCTATATCAAAACAGTAAAATCATTTAAGCAATAGTGAATGAGGAAATCATGTGAAATTCTTTAAAACAGGTAAAACAGATATAATCAGTATGAATCAGCTCCTCAAGCCTTTCAGTTCATTTATTCGTTCTTATCCTCATCTCTCAATTTCATATACTTTTCACGATAACCGAATCAAAATATATATATATATATACCGCTGCGGCGTGCAGCCCGATCCGTATATCGCTGTGGCGTACAACCCGATCCATAATAATAATAGTCGACTGCGCTCACTGGGGGTGTGCAGACTCCGGAGCGGCTCCTTCAGCCCAAGCGCTATATAATTGCTACGACGTGCAGCCCGATCCATATAAGTAGTTGCTGCGATGTGCAGCCCGATCCATAATATGTATAATATATATATATATCTGCTGCGGCGCGCAGCCCGATCCATATCATATAAAATATCCTCACTATTGGATCCTCGACCCCTATCAGTCAATTAAAAATCACAACCTCTCGGGCATAATGTACGGTCGGGATCTCAGCTCTCATATCTCTCTCTATTTATGACTAACATTTCGAAAATCTGGTTCATATCATTCTTAAACAATTGGAAACATGACTGAGGATATAAATTCTTTAACAAAGTAAGTGAGGAAAACCAGTCAAAAATCCCCTAAGGGTTCTACAGGTCGGCACAAGGCCCCAAGCATGGCAACAAGCCCAATTCACAATAATAAAGTATATGTCTCAATCAAAAATGTAGTAAAATATCATTCGGGATGGACCAAGTCACAATCCCCATAGCATTGAACCTCACGCTCGTCACACAGCGTGTATCTCAACTTAGTATAGCACTACGTTGTGCAATTCCGGGGTTTCAAACCCTCAGGACATCATTTAAAATCATTACTCACCTCAAATTGGCCAAAACCCTAGCTCGCTATGCCCTTGCCTCTCAAATTGTCCTCCACGCGCGTCGAATCTATCCAAAAATCAGAACAAATAGGTCACAATATGCTAAGGAAACATAGCCCAAGCAAAAACATTCGAAAAAATATCAAAAATCTCGAAATTAGCAAAACCTGAGCCCCGGGCCCACATCCCGAAATCAGATAAAATTTACATTTTCAGAATCCTCATACCCTCACGAGTCTAACCATACCAAATTATCCAATTCCGTTATCATTTGGTCCTTCAAATCGTCATTTTACATTTTAAAAAGGTTGCACAATTTTCTTCCCAAATTCCATCCCAAATCACGAATTAAATAATAAATTCAGTGATAGATTCATGTGTTCTAGCCAAATCTGAGTTAAAATCACTTACCCCGATGAATTTCTTGAAAAACCTTCGAAAAATCGCCAAAATCCGAG